CACACACACACATACGGGTCTCAGGCACACAACAAGCACATGGACATCAGCAAGCACTGAGTCTCAGCAGAGCATGGAAATCTCAGCAGAGCACGGAAATCTCAGCAAATCAGTCTAGCATACAGCAATACTCAGAAAAAAATCAGAATTCTCAGTCTGCAATTTTGCAGGTCATCATTACTCATCCCAGTTCCGAACCACATGAAATTTGACATTTACGGATTTGCCCCCACAATGGGCCTGACCTCATCTCAAATCCCTATAGAACTAGATGAACAGAGTACAGTAGTGCTGATTGACCTGGCGCCGGTCAGTTTGGTGATGCTATCTCAACGCCATCGCCCTTTGGGGTAAGAAAAAAAAGAATCTTTGTCAGCTTACCGAATTACCCCTTCAACTTTGGCATTCACAGGTAAGCCTTCCTCCGAGGCCCAGAGTCAAATCAGAAACAGAAGTGGGGTACAGCTCGCACTTGAGCAGCCCAGAAAGTATAGGAATGAGTTCATCATAGACTGATAGTTGGACACAGAATGCTATTCTCAGTCCAAACTTACAGAGTTACCCCTTCAACTTCGGCATTCTGTGCTATTCTCAGTCCAGACTTACAGAGTTACCCCTTCAACTTCGGCATTCTGTGCTATTCTCAGTCCAAACTGACAGGAATGTGCATTTGGACTGAGAAATCTGAGTCTAAACCTACACTGCAAAACAGTGGAAAGTTGGGACACACAGAATAATTTATCAGCAAATACGCAAGTCTGCTCAGCGACAGGAGAGATTTCTGAGACTGAAATCTGTTAAAAATTAAAAATTAAAATTGGAATGATACAGAGAAGATTAGGATGGGCCCTGGACACAACGATGACCCACATAAATCGATAAATGGTCCAATTTTTTTTTCTATTATATAAAAACAAAATTTCTCAGACTGAAAACTGTGGGTTATAGCTAGCGAGCCTACAGCCTTGTTTTGTTTCCGAGTATATTAGATTGCTTTGGCTTTGAGAGATCGATGATCAAAAGCTCTGTGAAAAAAAACGAAAAAAAGAATTCATAATGGCTTTTAGTCATGGTTGCCAACCGGACGTCCAGATCCCGACCCAGACAGTCCGGTGTCCGCTGTCCGCTGTCCGGGTCCGGTGTATGGTTTGGAATGTCCGGTTGGACCCTCATTTCAAGAAATTCGATTTTTTTTGAGGGGGGTCCTCAGGCCATTTTCCTGGGACTGGGGTACCCCAGAAAATTGTTGCTGTTACGATCCTGGTCATTTCCAAAGTGCAAATTCACAATGAAAGACAATGCCACCCAATTGCGA